GCCACCCTCCCTACAGTGGCCTGGAATCTCTGAAAAAGTGTGAGCACTGACTATATCAATTTATTTTAAGGCTGGAGTCATGAAAGTGTGCTCTTATAGGGTCGTCTCAACTCTCCTCCTTGATGTGCCAGCAAGATACTAACAAAGAAGAATAAAACACTCCAGATGGTGTCCATTTTGTTGTAAAAGAGCCTATGATAAAAGTGGAGGTATTTGGTAAAAAAGCTTTCTCTCTTAACCTTTGGACTAGATGAAACATGGGAGGGATAGAAAAAGGCTAGAACTGGTGCATTATACACAGAAGGGGTTGAGCTGTTAGCTGTAAGCTTATATGTGAAACATGAATTTAAAATGTACTTAGAAATCCATGCCACTACTTTTTGTTGTCTCGGAGACTTGACATTTGATGATCTGGATAACCTCTACCCCCTTGCAAAGGTAGTAAGGGGGAAGAAGGCAGATTTCTGACATGATGGTTTTGTACAGTACAAATTCTAGGGTAGACAAGGCAGAAATGCATCATGCCCACACGCTGCACACGTCTGCTGTATGTTGGCTTCATAATCTTCTTACCAAAAGTCACAAAACCATGATAAAATTACTGTGCCTGAATAAGCAGCGTCTCTGAAGAATCTATTGTAAAAATGGAAAAGAGGGACTTTGCTTTCAAAGAAGAAAGAGAGGCTGACCTCAGCACTAAGATGCTTCTCTCTACTGAAATGTGGGAATAATATATGGAGTTGCATTAATACAAACTGCTGAAGCACCTTGGCGATGCTCCAAATGAATGCCCTTTCTGATGGAGTTTTTAATACTTCAAGAAGACATACTTTCTGCTTTTAGATGCCAATAAAATGATTCCCTGCGGGACCCATAGGCTGCATTTCAATGCTAAATTACAATGACAGTGTGAAATGATTGACCACCAATCACTACTGAAGCATTTCTGCACACACGTGCTTTTGCTTTTCTGCAATTTAATTCCTTCTTGTGGTAAACTCTGTCACCACTTCAACCCCTAATTGAGATGCTTCTTTCCATCTGTCTCAATGCACGTGTTGTGCCATCACCGCTGATGCTAAAGCATCCCTAACCACCGGCAGTTTATTGACTGGAGCCTGACCTAGTTGCATTCGTGACCTGCAAGAGGCCACAGCCAAGAAATGTTTGGTCTCCAGACAAAAAACTACATTAAATGAACCAAAAGAGAAATTCACAGATGAAACTTTTGCTGCATCTGGCAATTGAGAGAGGAATGAGAACTAAATGGGAACTAAAAATCCCATTACAATTATTCTTGGGTACAAGCGTAGTTTTCTGTTTCAGAAAAATCAAATAACTTTGAGTGTGTGCTCCATCTAGTCTGTTATATGCAAGAGGAGGGGAATGAGCTTGCTAAATCTGACAGGAAAGAAGGCTGACCTCTGTTAAGGGTGGCAATAAGGAACTGGAGTTCAGACTAAGACAAGAGATCTGAAAGGTTTCCCCATGAAGTGGCCAGTAAATTAATCCTTTAAGTTCTTGAAATTCTCTTTTCTAAGATTTTGGATAGATTATTTCAGTAAACTTTCAGTAAATGAAGTCAGTGGCTGAATCTGTCTGTCACACAGATTTGGGATAAGTATCAGTAAGCCTCTTTAAAAAAGAAATATTTGATTTCGCATAAAGTACAGTACCTGGACAAATAGAGAAGTAAGGCAAATGCTCCAGGATCCTGTTTCTTGTACACATGATATTGTGTAAATTTTATGAGAAATACAATAAAAGTGAGTAAGGAGTAACTAAATAACAGGACCTAAATTTGATAATCTAGGCTGCTGTTGAATGATTTCTTCACATTACCAGCTTTTTATCTAGTGTGAAGAATTCTCATCAGGAAAATTGAGAAGGGAGCTATGAAAGAAAATATTCTTGGTGCTAATTCTGTCTCTATCTTTTCTTTTTTTAAATTAGAAATCCTAATTTTTTTCCAATGTGCTGATTAATTCTGTTCACATGCCTAGCCTAGCCTGAGAGAGCTCAAGTAAAATCCTGATTCCCTGAAGCCAACAGCAATCTTGCCATTGTGCCAGGTATCTGGCACATGCAGTTTTGATGGAAATTTACCCTGAGGACTTGATTTCTTGAAAGCTGTGGGGTACCTCAGTGTTTGCATCCAAAAGCTGAGGAAGAATAACATAGTGACTCTGGAATTTGTTGTCTCATTCTGCTGATGAGAAATGCAAACACAGAAAACTCAAGAATAATATTTATGTGCAGCATTGCTTAGATTATAGTTGCATATATTCTCAATAAGAAAAATGAGGTGGTATAAAGAACAGTCATGTTTTCACATACACAGGGCTTCAGTAAGTATTGGCTTCTTACATGTGGAGCTTTCTTGCGTGGTACCGATGATTGTTGTCCACTTAAAAGTAATTAAAATGTCACAGCATTCAATAGAAATCCTAGTACCTTTTGGAATAAAGCTCTAATAATAAGAAAAAGAGGAGCTATTTCTGAATTTTTTTTTTTTTTTTCCCAGCTGAAAATTGACTGGCAGCTATCAGCAAATGGAGACAGGGAAACTGTCAGAAATATTTGCCTTCTAAACTGCTGTCATTGTGCCTGCAGTCTTCTTGGAACCAGATTTCTATTTGCTGACTGCATAGGCATTTTGTAGGAACCTTTTTACTGAAAATACAAAAAACTAATGTTTGAATTGCTTTTGGATTTTCTTATAGGATTTTTATTTTGAAAGCCTCTGAGCTGGATGTGTATTTCATGCCTTTTTCTTTCTTTTTTCTTTTTCTTTTTTTTTTTTTTTGTTGTTTTTCTTCTAAATATCTTCTTTGTATCCTGCACAAAGTAGAATGCAAAATAATTAAGCAAGTAAGTTGTGAATCTCTGACTACAAAATAATACTCCCCCCCCAACGTTCTCAGTGATTCCATTTTTAACTAAAGTTTTGGCCTGTCGTAGAGACAATAACAACTTGTTTTAATCTTCTTAAAGTTCTAGGTTTGCATTATAACTTCAAAACCTAGTCTCAATCTAGAGGTTTTTGTAAACTTCATGATGTTACTATTCACACTTAATTCTTGATGACACCTTAATTCTTAAATTGCTTACAGATTTATTTCCCCCCCCTCAATGCTATTTAAACTCTTTCTTAACACTACAAAAGGAGCAGAAAATTCCCAGTCAGAACTTTTCAGTGTTAGATTGTCTACATGAGTCAAATACTTTTAGGTATTTTTGCCCTTCTTTGACATTTGAAACCAGACTACTGGCTTCTTACAGGGCTGCTTTCTGAGTCTCACGAACAGCTCGGCATTATACAGAGAAGACTCAGCTCAGTTTCTCAAACAACATTTTCATGCCATGCTACCCACACAAAAGAGTTTGGGGCTTTCCTCGCCTCTTCAGTGTTGATACACTTCCTTTTTTATTCCCGAGTCTCCAGTCAGTGTGGCAATGTGTGGCCTGGAGGCTTGGCTTGTGACTCTTTGGATTTGCTCGATTCAATAAGCTGATACACAAATGCCTGGAAGGATTGTTAAGGTATGCTCACTACACCTAGAAATTATGGAGTTTTTGTGGGCTTGAGAAGTGGAAACTCAAGTCCAGGCTTGAATTTCAGGTGCTTCACTTTGCTCTGTGTGTGTTGTAGTGTTCCCATAAAGGGGAATGCTGTGTGTGTGTGTTTTGTAGCACTCCCCAGGGGAAATATCAAAACTGTATCTTCTTTGGAATCAGAGGTTCAGCTGTGTCCCAGGTATGTGGCACAATCTCTACTAATATGAAAAACAGGGGTGCCCCCACGTCAAGTATGTTCATCCTGTGAAACACTGTAGTATTGTTGTTTCCCTGTGATGCTTGAGTATTTCATTTGCTGGAGTAGTGCAGTGCAGGTTCCAAAAAATTATACGCACTGTGAAAGGTCCCAGCAATGCAGCCAGTCCTGGTTGACGGGGAGCTGACCCCTTCAGCTAGTGGTTTAGCTGTTTGCTAACAGTATGAGAGTAGGAGGACTTAGAAGCTAATGAGAATTTCAGTTTGAAACAGATAGTGGATGGTTCAGTGGATGGTGAGATTCAAAATGGAACCATTTCACAGTTATGATCTCAGTTATGTTTTAAAATGTTTGGGAGAAAATGTCTATGGATTTGGAAAAGAAAACCCCAGCAGCTAGAGAGAAACAATAAAAAGTTGTGCACAATGCTAGCTGCCATTAAAGGCTGGATGTTTCTCTTCATTGTTTCAAATAATTTCATCAATCTAGAGAAAATTGCTCCTTATATCTTTTTGGTGTGTTTTCAGAGTGGATTTTTATGGAAGAACAGGACTGTGCTGAGTCTTGGACAGGTTAAGCCCTTTGCTTTCAGAGGAGCTCTCTGAAAAGTCACAGAGCATTTTATGTTACTGTTGCATAGTGATAAACAGTCCTTGCTTTGTGATGAATAATTCAAATGAAAGCGGCTGTTGCACTGCAAAAAAACGGAACAGATTTTGTGAGTATTCTGTATAATGGGGGACAGCAAACAGTGGTGGCCCTTTTCCAGTTTTGTGCCCTCCTCAGGAATAGATTCAACTGATAGAGAATTCTATAAATTTCCAGAATAAAACAAATAATCCCCCAACACCAAGAAGTATTCCCTATCCTGGGTGGAAGTAAGGCTGGAACTCAAAGGAAAAAAAGTGCCTTTCTTTCTTTCTTTATTCTTAGGGGTTAGTGTTGAGAAGCAGTGTAACAGTACTCACCAGGAAGGCTGCAAATAGCGTGACCGCTGGCAAGCTGCCAGTATTTAGGAAAAAGAGCTTTCTGCATCCAGCTTTCCTTAGTTCCCAACTTAGAAATTTCACTGGGATTTTCACATGGTCCTAAGCTTTGCATGTGTGTTATCCCTATACCACAGAAGAAGCAAGCACCCTTTTCCTTTCATAGGAGAGCATTAATAGCTATGTCCAATGGCAAACATACATTCTTCTGGTGAGTGGTCAAATGAAATTTGAAAACCATTATACTGTCCAGTGTTTGTACTGAATAGCTAAATTACTGGGAGCTGCCTCAGGATCATCTGGGAGGTTACTTAGCTTTTGGTTTGATCTTGGACCCATCTTCCTATGTAAATAGTGTAAGCATTAGATAAGAATGATTAAAGTATTAGATATTGTAAGATGTCATGTGTTTCTTCATTAAACAGCCTTTGAAAATTAAAACAGAAGTCGTCAGCCCAAACAGAGTTCTGTGGTTAATGTTTTTTTCCTGTTGTGATTTCATCTAGTTATTCCCTTCAGGCATTTATAATCTTATTGGGGGGCAGCCTATGAAATGTACTACCAGGGGAAAACAATTCTTCATAGCACACCACCTACTTGTGGGTTTTCATGTAACTGCTGCTGTGAAAACTGGCTTGGTTTGGACTCTGGGGTGACCAGAGGAGGTCCTGCCCATGGTTAGTCACCTGCAGCACCTGCTGGAGGGGCAATTGCTTCCCCAAAAGGTTGGGCACATGGGGCAGCGACAATGGGAGTGTGAGGTGTGCAGAGAAGTGAGGGACCAGCAGATAGAGGGAGAAGTAGGATGTACTCAGAAAATAGACAAGTGCTACCCCTGTATGCAGTCAAAACCTGTAATCACTTTGGTTTCTACTTGTGTGCATTTAAACCAGATAAGCTTTTTTTTTTTTTATGCCTTCTTTTATCTCAGTGCAAATTACTAAGGGTGAATTATGACTGCAAATAGGAGGCTTTAAAAACACTGAAGGTTTACAGCTGCAGAGTGTTGATATTCCAGGATCTCTTTCTCACATAAGTTTGAAAGCACTGTAGTGCTCTGAGCTTGGTGCCTGCTTTTGAAATGATAAAATGTTTTAACTGTGATTCCCCCCACCTTAATCCTAGGTCCCAATTAAGCAGTAACAGCAGTAACTGCAGTAATAATTTCTCTTTGCACTGATCTAATCTGAAGTCACGAGCAGCTGCAGTATTTATGCTACGAAGGATTTTTCCCCTTTGGCATATATTGCACAGGCTGTCCCTTGATTCAGTTACAAGTGCTTGAAGGCTATTGATTTTTACTCTGTTTTATGAGAACTCTCCTTTTTAATTTCTCAGGTTTGAATTTGATTGATCAAGTCATGTGATAAAAGTATTTATGCATCTGATTACCTGTTTATCTGGTCAGAGAAGAACTAGGTCTAACACAAAACCCACTTTCTGATTCCTGAGCTGCAGGAGATCCTGAGCTCTGGGGTATTCTCCTCCTCCTCCTGCCAGGTCACACTCAAGAGGTGGCTGTAAACATGAATATTTCTGAAGGGGAAGTGTCATAGAGGCATTGCTTACTGACATCCTAGAAACACACAGCATGCGTGGAAATTACTGTACCACGGAAATAACCCCGGGTGTTCATTAGGCTGATTTGGGTGTGTTGCTAGGCAACTCGGGGCAACAAGGGGGATTTTATGTATTCTTTTGGTAGGTACAGGTCTCTGTAGAGATTTCCAGGTAAGTAACAGAGCCGTGGGAGAAGCTGATCAGCTGCCACACCAGAAGTTAAGCCCTACAAACTTAACTTTCAAGAGGAGTTTTTCCAAGGAAGAAATTGGATTAGACCCAGAGATGACGTACCCTGTTTGATTTCTTTTCTCCTTGCACTCTGACCAGCTTTGTGTTTAGGCAGGCTTTTGTTTCTGGCTCCGAGTTGCTTTAAAAACATTTGGGAGTGTGTCTCGGGGTGTTAAGGGTGATGTGCTTAGCTTGATTGGCGCGGCTTGCTTGGGAGTGCTTTGTTCTTCCCACCACCCTCAGGTCAGTTGTGCAACATGCCCCTGCTGCTCAAAAAGAAAAAAGGAAAAAAAAAAAAAAGAGAAATGCTGAGTAATGCCAGAGGTTTCTCAAATGGCTGATGCAAACCTGGAGAATTTACATCATCATTCAGCTGGAGTAACTTGGTATGACAAGAGCTTAAATACAAGTCCATGCGGAAGCTGAGCTGGTTCCCAATGATAGGGCAGTACCAGCTCGCAGTGTGAAAGTGCAGGTGTTCCTGAGCAGTGCTCTGATTGCAGTAAAAGCTCAAATACACTTCAGGAGCTCTCTACCTGTGTGTAGGAGCAGCTGGAAAGATAAGAGAGGGCAGAGGAAGAGACCAAGTGGTTGGCTACACAGAGGGGAGGGGGGGGAAAAGTCTTGAGTTTCTGCTGAAAACTTTTTTCTCTGTGCTTGCTGTCCGTGTGCTGGTGGCACTATAGCATGTATAGGAAGGCTGCTGTAACCACGGTCTCTAATGGACGCTACTTTCAGGGGCAAGCTAATGGCAGGTTGCCCTCTATGGACAGCGAACAGCCAGCCCAGGAGGGAAAAGTTGTGCTGAAGAAGAAAGTGACACTTTTGAGAGGGATATCCATCATAATTGGCACTATCATTGGAGCTGGCATCTTCATCTCTCCCAAAGGCATCCTGAAGAACACGGGCAGTGTGGGCATGTCCTTGACTGTCTGGACAGTGTGTGGTATCCTCTCGCTCTTCGGTAAGTCCCTTAAAAGTTTCTAATTAGTCCAGAGGGGAGCTGGTGGATTATTGCTATTATTTGTCTGATTTTGTCATTGGATGTCAAGGTACAGAGTGGAGCTTAAGGACCAATAGGGCTACAGAAGGCTTTTTGCTGTGTGATAGGTTGTGTGGAGGGCGCAGAGGTATGCAACTCCTGTCCCACCAGTGCCTGGTCAGTCAAGTTGGAAGCATAAATACGTGATTAGGGGTCCCTAAAGGAACAGGAAAAGTAAATGTCCAGTTTATGCCATGCATCATGATGTATGTATACTGAGTTTTTTTATGGATGGCCCCCAGCAGCTGGGGATGGGGGTCACTCCACTCCAACACCACGTGAATGTTTTAGCCATCTAAATTTAGCTCCCTGGAGGCTAGAGCAAGGTCTGAGGGGAATAATTCCCTCTGGAACTAAGCTGTATAGGCATACAAAGGAACAAAATAGTAATAACACTAATAACCCCTCTTGCCAGTCTTTACTTCAGTCCTTCCTCGTGATGTTGCTTTGACAATTTGAGCTGCAAAAAACAACATAATGGAAACAAATTTGTAATGCAAGTTTTTTTTGCTGGCCTGCGTACCGTGACAGGCCAGCAGTTATCGTATTTTTACTAATTTTGTGTACTTTTGAAGAGTGTTAAATTCTGAAGAATGCCAGTTTATTTGTTCTGTACACAAAGCCTCCATTCAGAGTGGTAAACCGCACCTTTGACTCAGTGGGACAGAGGGGTTCGCTGACCTACTTAATGAGCTAATCTTAAAGAGGCTGAAGAACTAGCAGGAATATTTGCTTTATTTAAAACATAAATGACTTGTTTTCTGGCAGGAGGTAAAGAGGGCAAAGACTGGCTAACATGTGTCTGCTCAATAGCTAGAACATGCAAATGCCGCCCTGTGTAAATTGGCTCTGATCTTAAAAGAAACATGGGCTGTTTGCGAGCTAAGCCCACCTGACTGAGTTTAGAACCCGTAGGTCACATGTTAAATGTATTGTACAATGTGCAGTGTAACCTGTTGATCATTATTTGATAACAAGCAAATGTGTTAGAAGGCTTTCACTTAGCGGTGGCTGGGTGGGGAGCTGGGGTAGCTGGCATGACACAGCATTTTATTGTCCCTCTTCATGAGATGTGTATGAGTAATGAAATGTCTTGATAGCAAACAGTTCCTCCGGTGGCTTTTCACCCAAGTGTAACTAGATACATGTACTGTTTGGTTAACTGCAAGCCTAGCTGAATGAATTAAAACTTACCTAATTGCCTGAAAACAGTTATTAAAATATATTTAAAGTAGTTGTGATACCACAGCAGCTCTGTTGTTTTGTTTATAAAAGTTTTGAAAGGCATTTCTGGATATCTCTTGTGATGCCAAAGTTCAATTCTCACAGGTGCCCTCTGCTATGCTGAATTAGGAACGTGCATTAAGAAATCTGGTGGTCACTATACTTATATCCTGGAGGCCTTTGGCCCCTTACCTGCTTTTGTGAGAGTCTGGGTTGAGTTACTCATCATTCGGTAAGTTTATTGTGTTTTTTCTGTGGTTTTTTTTTGTTGTTTTTTTTTTCTGACAGCAACACACTTTTCAATCATAAAGAAAAAACTCCACTCTGTGGTGGGCAAAACAAGTCAAATATACCTTGATCAGTGAGCTGTGTTCTTTTAGTATGGTTACTTCAGATAACACAACAACACTATTTTGCTTGTCAGGATTGAAACAGTCAAGGAGACGTGCATGTATGGGGGAGAAAAAAATGCCTGCCACACAAATTCAGCTATTTGCATTAATTTTTCTAAGCTTACTGTATCCATTAATGTCAAAAGTAATGCCAATATCTGTGTCTATATGTCTTATAGGAAGAGGGAAGTCACCTTTATGTTTTCTCAGTCTTGCCACTGGCTTTTGGAGCAGTTGCTTTTGTCTGTGGATACAGGAATAACTCCTGGTGAAGCTATTGCCCAGTAGTTTTCAGATTTGGGGCGCCACGTGTTCTTCATATGTCAGTTCAGGTCCCCATTTTTTTGGTTTTGTGGGATGTTGGAAAGCTTAAATCCTGATGACTATGAAAAGCACTAACTGGCCAGATAAAGCAGTGTTAATTCTTTACATATCTAGAATGTTCAAAGTATTGTTTTGGTACGAAGGCCTGTGACTCCTGCAGCTCTTGACACTGTATAGGTGAATTACAATATGAAGATGCCAAATCATGTCAAATATATTTTTGTAATTTAAATGGATCTTTGCAGCAAACTCAAATATGCCCCCCCTTTTTTTTTTTTTTATGGTATCACTGAAGCTGGAGGGCTTGTTACAGGTAGAACAGGGGCAACTCACTTATAAAACAACTTTGGGAATGCTCCAGTCCTGCCTCAGGCTAGTTAGCACTCCTTTCCCCTCTCTTCCGCAATCAGCAAATTAGTCACAGAAGTGCACGCCTCATTTCAAATCACGACTATGTTTACATAATATCAACAAGTTCTAGCATAGATTTGAGTTTAAAAGCACTGACAGTGCTGAGTCATTATGAATCCAAGGATCTTTATCTTGTTTCCGGAGGAAGTAATCTTGTATGTCAGATGGTCCCTTACATCCTCACCCCCAAAAGTAAACTTCGCATTAACTCTGTAACTTCCATCAAATGTGATGAAAGAGCAGATGTCTTAACCCTATTAACTTCTTGACAAAAGGAAAACCAGACAGGGAGCAGATCTGTTTTTAAACTGTGAGAATCACAGTGCTGTGATCGTATCTATATCATTACACATCCCAGGATCAAGAAAAGAGTCTGAAATATCCCCCTCTTAACCTGCACCTTGCTAGGCAGGCAGACCTTATGAACGTAGGCACAAACACCAACAAGAAACCAGGTTTCATAAATTCCTCTCCTTGCAAAATTATTGCTTTTTTACATATTACAGTGTCCCAGGAATGTCACAAAAACACTCTTAGTCACCATGATCTGCCCCACACCCAGTAAATAATCATCTTGCATTGGAAGGAATGTCACTGAATTCTTTAATCATCAAATGTGAGAGGTAGCAAGCGAGGTGGACTTGTTAAAACTTGTGATGATCAGAGCAGCGCTGCTGATGCTCTGTGTAGGGTTTAATATCTGACTCCTGCATTGGTAAACTAATTGGCTGCTACTATCAAAGAAGTTAAGGACTAATACGTATCTAGGTTTTTTTTTTCAATAGATGAAGTTGCACAGACACTTCTCAGCTAAGCTGTTTTTTCCTCTGAAAGATCACAGGATTATCACACCCACAGGCTGGCAAAGAAGCCCCAACCAGACTCAGCATATCCTGCTCTCATATATCTTTTCAGCCACTATTTACAGTCTAGGACGCACTTAAACTCTGCTCACACACTGATTAAACTGTGCCAGAATTACCTGCAGTTTAGGTGTACCTTATACTGTGCTCCTCATCCAGTACAAGTAGGAAATTTTTTCTCCCCAAAAGTCAAGTTGCAGGTATATTACGTGCCTAAAAAAAACCAAATAAAAAATAAAAAAATAAGAGGCTAGCTTTCAAACAAGTGAATAAGACTATGTGAATGCATTGGCTGTAGTGATTAACTATAGTAGTTGCTACATATAGGCTGGGTAGAGGAAGCTGCCAAGCGACTGACTCACCTGTGGTATGTGCTGGGGCACTATGCCTGCTCCTTAGCTGATGTTTTTTGTGCTCCTTGCCTTTCAAAGAAAGCTGCTGTTGTCCTTCCTGTCCACTCCTGAACTCACAGTAATGAGGGGGCTGCTAGTCTGTCCGTAGGATTGTGATCAAAAGGAAAATGTCCCATTCCTTCAACTTCCACCTCCACTGGCTGACTAAGCTGCCAGCAACATCTCCCCTCAAACATGTGAATGCGAGAGACACAGCTATGCGAAGTATAATTTAGGAACTATGTTTTTAAAAACATAGTGGTGTGGATAACAGCGACTGCCTCTTTAAAAAGGCCTGTCTTAAGATGAGAAGGAAAAATCCAATTTCTGGAAAGAAGAGCTGGGACTGAGGGGAAAAAAGCCTGGGAAAGCTCCAAAGATCTGATCTTTCATCTGATCTAGGACTCTTCAAACTACTTTTGGCAGCCTGAAGTGTTGAAAAGCTGGAAGTAAGCCTGGTGATCTTACGTAAATTAAAAATATTGCACCCAGGTAAAGTCATAAAATGTCTGTGTAAATCCAACACAGAGGACATTTGGTCCCTGAGCAAAGGCAAAAATTGCTAAGCCAGCTGCTGGCCAGTGAGAGGAGACGTCCTCATGCGTGGGGGATGCACAAGCCACAGCCCTGATTTGTCCATACAGAAACTTTCAGAGGAAGAAACTTCTGGTTTTTACTGCTCTGCAGTTTGGTTCAATGCAATGTGTGACATTTTGGTTGAGTCATAACACTAAGAAAGTCGGTTCTGTTTCAAGGGCAAAACTCTTCTGTGGAAAATTCCTTTATTGTCTGATGGAGAATAATAACTTCTCTGCAGAATTTTTACACTGTTTCATAGCATATTTAGCAATGGTATTTCTATTCTAATTCTTTAAGGTGAGGCATTACTTTATTAAATGCTCTGGATCTTTTTTTTCCACAATCGATTTGCATGGACTCTTGTTTAACACAAAAATCCTTTAAGGCAGAATCGTATTGCCTTTTGTCCTTATTGTGTGGGTGATGAAGCACAGAAGCCACCAGCTGTTGTGAGAAGGGTGAAAGTGTCCTCCCAAACCAAACGTGAATAGGTCACTGGAACTGTTATATGCAGACAATGCCTGATCTGAGACACAGGATAATTTGTTGTTAATTGTGCCAGTGCTAAGGCTTCTGGCAGACCTTTAGCGCATCTCAAAGAGAAAGGCTGTATGAACATTGTGTATTTCAAATTGGTAAAGGCAACAACTGCATGCCTTCACATTTCTCTCTTTCATGGTAGGTGCCTTCTGTGCTTCAAGGAATTTTGATTTCACTTGCAGTGCTAGGAAGTTGTCAGTCAATAAAAGAAACAAATTCTGTTTGCATTTTAGGAAATACCATTTTCATTCATTTGTTGCATGGTCTCAGATTTTAATAACAGCTTTGAGTAGGTTTGAGATACTTATTTCAATATAGCAGAATTCTCAGCTTGATTGAAATTAATTTGCTTGTGTCTGAGGGGTGGTGAGATATAACTGGCCACTAAAATTCACTCCTCAATGACTTTTACTTGGAGTTTTGCCCATGTAATCTAATTTTGGCCTTGTTCACTTTGAGCAAGTGAATGAAGATTTCTATTGATACCTTCCTTTTCTGTTTATGGCTGCTTTACAGCATGGAATTTGCAAGAATAATCCTGGTAAGAAGTGCTGCTGTCAAGATCAGAACAGCTGAGCAAAACTAAATTGCTTATGGTTCCCTGATACATTCAGAGATCACAGTACATGACAGCAGGTTACTAGCACCCACCAATATTAAGTATGATTCACAGCTCTGTGATAATAAAGCATGATCCCATAAGGATATTATCTATTGTGGATTAACTTTGTGATTTTTTTTGTTGTTGTTACTCTAGCCCTGCTGCCACAGCAGTGATATCGTTGGCCTTTGGACGTTACATTTTAGAACCTTTCTTTATGCAGTGTGAAATCCCAGAACTTGCAATTAAACTTATTACAGCTGTTGGCATCAGTAAGTATCTAATTTTAGTTTAAGGGAAGGGTAAAGAAGATATAAACTGGGGGAGAGGGAAGTAATTGAACACTGAACAGTTACTTGTTTTGTATGAATCATTACAGAAGTGTTGTGCGTCCAATGTCAAGGGCATTGGTGTGACTTTTTGCCTGGGTATGTGTGTTTGTGAACATACACAGTAGTAAAGAGAATAGCAGCCTTTATTAATGGCAGGCAAAATCTATCGCCAAGGCTGGTCCTGTTGCCACTTGAATTAATGGCAGAACTCTCATTACTTTTGTGTAAGCAATTTCAGTCCCTAAGAGATGGTGAGCCAGTGCCAGAGATGTGGAAGAATGACTGCCTGATTTTAAGTGCTTTGCTCTACCTCTGCTTTAGGAGGCAATTGAGTGCCAAGTATAATGCCAATGAAGAAATGTAGTTCTCTGGAGTGGAGCACAGGCAACAGGAGATCATCATCCCTAGTGCCACTCTGTCCTTCACAGCAATAAAACTTATTGGGGCACTTGCAGTTTGGAAAGCAGAAACCCAACTGATGACTTTGGGAGAAGGGTGTGAAGATTGGTGAAAATGCATATCTGTTACAAGCAGCTCATCTTACTCTTGCTGACTTTGAAATTAGTGTGAAAAGGACTCTGTAGGGCTAGAGACAATCAATAATTTCCAGTGGAAGGATGCAGGCTACCCTGAGACCAGGAACTTTACAGTGTACCTGGGCTGGTGTGGGTATGAAACAAGAAAGCACAAATCATGATGCAAATGGGACTCTGCAGCACTTTGTCTTTAGCACTAGAGGCTTTTTTCATGTTCTGTCTGGTCCCTGGTTATGATGCTCCTTGCACAAGTGTGCACACATTTGTATTCAACTGTGTTGGGAGAAGAGTGATGAGTAGACCTGAGTAACTAGTAAGGGATTGTTTCTTTCAATTTGGTCAGTGCACATCTCAGAAACGAAAGGACCGGAAAAAGGAATTAAGACATGCAAAATGATCAAAGGCACACAGGAGACCCCTTCAGTTTTCCACAATAATAGGTTCAGATGCCTTTTTCTTTCTTTGGGGTAGGGAGTTCAATTGACATTGAAATTTCCAGTCTCCAGGTTACGGTGTTTTTTTTGTAGGCACTCTCTTGACAAGAGTTCCCTTCTGCCCAGAGTGTTAAAAAATCATTATGTGACCACATTTCTTTCTAACTTAATTATGCACACACTATAGGTTTCATAGGAATAATTGAATTAAGAGCTTAAATTTTGAGGTCAATGACTTTTTATAGCTACATCTGTCTAAAATATTTCAGTGCAAGATAAGGGTGAAACAGATGTTCAGTAACTTCAAGATCACTGAGACAGAAGGAATTTTAAGTGAGGACTCCGTCAAAGCATTTTGTTAAGCGCATGTGATTCAAGCACAATAAGTGAACAATTCAAAATAGGTTTTTATTGCTTTTAATTTAATTGAAAATCTGTGTGATGAGCCAGGGCATTGCAAAGTAATTAAACAAAGAAGTAGCACTGGGTGGGGAGGGGGTGGCTGGGCGGCAGTGCCGGGGAGGATGGAGTTATACTGAAATAATTAGAGCATAAAGGGAGAGAGGAGTTTACGGCAGAGTGCTTCTATGGTGAGCGCAGGTCTGCATAGCACAGGTAGGATGAGGTGTCATGTCACTGAAAGAAGGGATTCTTTATACAAAGTTTGTAGCAATGAATGGGACAGCACTCAGGAAGAAAGTGGCATGTCAGAGGCTTGATCTTTATTTGCAGTATGCTCTACAGTGGACTTTCATTTGTAGTAGTTTTTGATTATATGCTACACTCAAGCTCAGGGATCCCAGAACACATGACTGTTACTCTCATAGGGTAAGAATTAGTTGCTGTGGTGGTAATCATAGAATCATAGAATAGTTAAGGTTGGAAAGGACCTTAAGATCATCTAGTTCCAGCCCCCCTGCCATGGGCAGGGACACCTCACACTAAACCATGGCACCCAAGGCTCTGTCCAACCTGGCCTTGAACACTTCCAGGGATGGAGCATTCACAGCCTCCCTGGGCACCCCACTCCAGTGCCTCACCACCCTTACAGTAAAGAACTTCCTTTAATTAAGGTGGTGTTGAGCTGAGCAGACACATTGGAGCCCTGAATAATCCAGTTTAATGGTGCCAAAGGTAGTCTTTGCTTCCATTGAGAATTTTAAGTTAATCAGGAAGTGAACTGCCTTTTGTCTTCTTATCATCTCCTGGTCCCTTTTCCCTCTTGTACCTCATGACAGAATGTTCATTGCATATCTGTCTTTATTGCATGAGGGAAAGGTAGCGGGAAGCAACATTAAACTCTGTCCTTGTGTGAGACTTTGTTCTGTAGTTTTTACCTTGTCATTTCTGATCATACTAGAAAGGGCATGAAGAGATTCTGAAAAATCTCCAGGTGATCTCCTGCCCCCCCAACACAATCAGTGTATCTAAAAGATTTCTGAGAGATCTTTGTTTAACCTGGTCTTAAAACCTCCAGCACGGATGTTTCTAAAACCTCATCTAATATTGTGGCTTGATTTTTTTTTTTTTTTTTCTGTCCTTGTCACAAGACATCTTTCCCCCCGCCCCTTCCTTTTCTGCAATTTAATCCTATTACTAAAAGGTTACCCAAGATGGATGCAACCAGAATTGTGATGGAGAATGGCAAATGCTGTTGCTCCTCTGCAAGCTGCAAACAAGTACTTCTCATGGAGGGGCTACAGCCTGTTCTGATCCCCACCACTCCACCTCAGTGTCTCTGTGGTGCAAAAGGAACAATGGTGCTGCAGAGAAGACGTAGCTCAGATGAGACCTAAAATGGAACTTCTGGAGAGGGTAACCTTTAAAAACCCCCTCGTTCTTGGTTTTGTATTTATAGGAAAAAAAGTAAGCACTGGGCACAAAGCTCTCCTCAAAATCATCTCTGTTCTGAGGAATTTCAAACAATCTTTGTTCCACAGTATGATGCTTGGGGTTTTGTTTTGTGGTGGTTTTTTTTTAAATATAATTATTAAACCAACCAAGCAAAAAGTCCAGGCATTTCAGGGGCTTGGTAGAGAGAAGGATGCTTGTGTGGAGGTTCTCTGCAGATACCCCAGCTTTCTGAATCTCTGAAGCAAAGGCTGCCTGTTTTTTTCAAACTTAGAAATTGCTTTTTTTCACTTGGTATTTCTCAAGTGTATCTCTGGAAGGAAAAAAGCCTAGGCAAATGCTGGGTATGAATATCTTGGTCAGTACTGGAGAGAAGAGCAGACAGCTCAGAGATATCTAATTACTACAATTTTTATGAAAATAAGTGGCCAGGTAGAAGAGAGAGAACCTGGATGTCCCCAGCGTAAGGAAGGACAGCTGAAGAAAATACAAGCGGGAGGAGAGACCTTTTAAATGCCAGCTTTGCTTGAGTTGGACACAACAGCCCCAGAACACAAAGCAGAAGGGATAATGTCCACGTTTGTTCTGATGCTGAAGATGGTCTGTTTAGAAGAAAGAGTTAAAAATTCATTTTTCTGTTTATGTGAAAACTGCTAGATTGCATAGTTATTGTTTCTTACAATGAAGAAACATCCTATCATGATTGCAAAGCATGGTGGTAGACAGTGCAAAACCTCCCTATTCGTATATTGCTTTATCTATATCTTTCAATTCTTCTGCTAATGGCAAACTTAAATATATTGGTAACAGGAAGGGATAAATTATACTGTGCAAAGGTATTGAACTGTACTATCAATATGTAACCTGAATAGATAAGCAATCTTAACTATTCTAATCTTTTCTCTATATCAGAAAGCAGATAAACAGGTTTCAGCTATTAAAATTTGAGACAACTTGCACGTGTTTTTAAGGTTTTAACACTCATGTGTATTTTGGGCATTTTACACTACAACAATATAAAATACACACACCCCCCCCCCCCTTTTTTTTTTTTTTTGAGGTCTGCCAAAACCCCTCAAATATAAGGCTGTTAAAAACTATGGCTGTTAGAGGCAGTGTTATGCTTGAAAACAAAGGTCAGCTGTATACATCTATCAGTGCTTGCTGGCAAATACTCCAGCCCAAAGCTTTATTGGCATAAATTTGGTGTGTACGTGAGTCTATAGTTAGTTGCTTTTTTTTGTCCCTGTCATGGCCAATGTTGCTCTCTACTGCTGACAGTTTTCAGACAAGCAGTTCAAATTAAGACATCTCTTGGCTTGCAGGGATAGCAAAACCTGCTCTGGTGGGTGCTCTTGTGCCTCCTGTGACTGTTTTAATTGACACATTAGGATCTGCAAATTGAGGGTATTTTTTTTTTTGCTATGTGTGAATGTCTAGATCCTAAAAGCCTGACAAGTGAGGGGAGGGCAGTTACCTTGGTTTCCTGCTGAGGCAGTGGTACGTATAGTCTTGAAAAGTAGGCCAGAATGTAATGCCTACTGTTAGTTCTCCCATTAGATTTTTTTTTTTATCCAGCTATAGCTGTGGCTGTGTGGAGAAAAGGGATTATGAAAAGCAATACGTTTCTTGTTACTATTGTGTTTGATTGTTCATGAACTCCATTTTATTTTCCCTTCATATTCTGATCGGTCAGGATTCATTTTGCTTTTAGTTAGGTGTTTAGTTTAAGGTAATTGTCTATGCTCCCCATAGTGGAGAAAGAGGGGAAGAGATGCTTCCTGAAGACAACTCGTCTTATCTGAGATGGGCGTCTGGAAGAGTTGTTATTCATCCTCTGGAGGTAACTGTATCCTCATTGGGGGTGCAGTCATGCTAGATGCTTGACTTCTAGTTAGCAAAGTTAGACATGAGTCCTCCTTTCACTGTCCTTTTGTCTGGGGAGTTTCTGCTTCCTTCTGATCTTTGATGTGATTCTGTATCACAGTGTCTGCAATCAGTTTCTTGAAGTATCTCCATAAGGCCCTATTCATAGAAGTGATGTGCTCAATAATGACTACAGTCCCAAGATACAGTTTCCTTCTTGAATCCTGGCACAGCTGTCATATTCTTTTCCTGGTCTTTAGCAGCTTTCTTCATGACTCTTCTGTTTCCTTTTGCTATCCAGTTGCTAATACAACCAGTATGGCGCTGATACATGGTAACAATATAAGCCCTATATCCTTGTATGTCTGTTGTGCGCATACAGCTGCTAAGACTAAATAAGTAGGCTGTAAATTCCTGTAGTCTATTAAGTCCAATAAAATGAAATTCCCCAAAATACCAAATCAGTCTTAACTCTTATAAGAACTTGAGTCCCGGCCCTGCAACCTGAACCTGAACAAATATTTGTGTAGTTGTCCAAAGGACTTACTCTGACAGAGGACCATCAAAACTAATGGCATGTGGACTGGACTGTGCAGGTGTAGGGTCCCTTCAGCTTCCCAATTAAATGAAGGTCCTTGCGGTATCCATTTTGCTTTCACTATTTCATTAGAAAGCCTCAGATGAAATATTTGGCTGGCTTGAGCTCACAGTTGGGAATGGAGAAGTTTTAACACTGCTTGTGATCGGAACCAGCCTGCATTTGTTATTTTCAAGCTAGTGTAGCTCTCCAACAGATCTGGGGCTGTGATTGCCAGCAAGGAAGGTTCTGAGTTACTGTGTGAGTTGACCTTAGTGTTTATACTAGTTTGCTATGCAGTGACATTCTTGTATGTGTATCAGAAAGGTGAAACGGATGCATTAGAAAACCTTGAGGGGGGCTCTCTGCAGGGAGGCTGCTCATGCTACCTATTCTGACCTGTGTAAAGTAACAGACAGCTGCAGTCAGCTTGAACTCTGAATAAGCTGGATGTCAATATCTTGATACTTTCTTACACATTAAACTCTTCCTTGATATTTTCTTGTGGCCTGGTCTCTGACTGGGCTTCGTCTTCTGGGAAAGAGGTATGATATCCTGAACTTTCTAAGAAATTTGAAATAAGCCAGCGCTTGTTTATGGCATTGGATTGTCGTTATAAGTCCTTCATAAAGAAACGCTGTTGGTCTAGTGAATATTTTGAATATGTTTTGCTTAAATGACAATTGTTAACCTACCTGGTAATCAAGCCCTGGGAAAAAAGGAGGAGCCTCAATCAGTGCTAATATTCAGCAGCAACCAAAAGAGATCTTTCAGCATTTAAAAGTGAAGGTACGTCAGGGACAACAGAGTAATGAATCAGGCCCCTGGGATTTTCTGTTTCCTGGCAAGTATAGGTATGCAGGGAAGTAATAAAGCAAAAAATAAGTGTTTCTATCTCAAGTGGAACTTTGCAGAAGTTTAACTGATTACTTCATGACTTAGGTAAGAATGCCTTGGTTCCAAAATATGGTGAAATATGGAACTGGAAAAACATTTTGACCTTTAAGATCTTCTTTTGGTGAAAAATTTGCATTAAGTGATGTTGCAAATATATATGGACTTTTGTAAATTGCACATTTGAGAGTGGGGGCATCTCCTCCCAGATAAAAATTCCAGGAAACACTTTCATATTTTTTTCCTGGAATTTTTATTTGATTAAAAGTATCTAAAAAATACATTGCAATACAGATTACTTGGAATTTTCTTCCTTTTCCATTAAACTTTTGTTTAAACTGAGAATTTTTTCTGATATGTATGTTTTGGCCTTGCTGGCGAACAGAATCTGTACAAAAGACTTGGGATAAATCAGTGTGGTTTGCTGCCAGAAAGTTTGTACCATGCCAGATTTACAATGCCAGCTCGTTCAAACTAGCTCCCAGACTCTGGCAGGAGATAGCAGCTTGAGTTTTTATGTGCCCCAGGATGTGTTGATATGGCTCATGATGTAGATGAATCAGTGCTCTTGAAAGAGGTTGAAGTATGGGAGAACTCTGGTGAGGAGCTAATTCATTAGCTCCATATGATGGCAGGAAAGAGGAGATAAGTCACCAGGCTTGTTTGACTATGTTCCCCTTTCCCAGCAGCAGAGAGGGAACAGGACTTTTTATCTAGTGAAGTGACTCACATTTTCCATTCTTTAGGTACTTTAAAAAAAAACCATAATGTAAACTCCTTTACTGATTATGTTTTTCCAGGCTAATAGTTTAAATAAGCTAGAATAACTGGCACTCAAATGATAAGACTTACAGTCCTCCTGTCAGTCAGTGCTGTAGTAAAGGCCAGAAGATGCCCTCCCTGACCCGGAAGGAGATGTCAGCCAAGCAGACAGGACGTAAAAGTCCTTCTCACTTATCTCTCTACATGTTGCAGACCTGGGCTTTGTTTTCAAAAGTTAAAACTCTCTATTTCTTCACCAATTCCCAGCAAGGATGGGCGTGCTACTTGCACTCTTGCCTTCCTGTATATCTGATGGTATAGCAGTAAGAGAGGGGAAAGCGTGGAAAAGAGGAGCAGAGGTAAATAAGGTAGTGAGTGAGTGAGTGACCGATTTATGTGGGGGCTAAATGTGGGTGTGAGAGTTTAATATGATCATTAATTGTTACTGTTTTCTGAAAATGCAGATCTCCACTCAAAGTGGCACTGGTACAGAAATCTGGAGTGACAAGGGTTGGGCAATTAGTTTCTTTTATTCAAGGCAGGCCCCTGCCAGCCAGCTGTTTGCCAGCAGGTAACAATTCTGGGTAAATGAAGCTGTAATTTTGTGTGGAGGGAGCCAGCTGAAGCTGAAGGTTATCAGGGTGTGTTGCCTTTAATGCATCAGGATCTAGGGGGTGTACGGCCTTGCTGCTGGTGAAGAATTTTGTGACGATTTCAGGAGCATGACTATTTCTTTCTGATTTTGCTTTTTCCCCTTGCAGCGCTGGTGATGGTCCTGAATAGCACAAGTGTCAGCTGGAGTGCCCGCATACAGATATTCCTTACCTTTTGCAAGCTTGTAGCAATTCTGATAATTATAGTCCCTGGAGTTATCCAGCTAATTAGAGGTATGAAATGAAAAGTAAACGCTTTTAAAGTGTTTTTATCTTTACCCTCCCCAGTCTTTCCCCACCTGCCTCCACCAAATAATGCTTATAGCAGCAAAATCTCTTAATTAGTCTGTGCTTGCTTAAACTGAAGCTTTGTACTGTCATGTAATTGATTTGAAGTGGAACTACACTGGGATGAACTGGTATTTCCTTCAGCATGCCAATGAGTCTATTCAGATCGCAGTCATGTTTTAAATAAGCAACAGGATTGCTCTTCTCTGTAATTTGCCTTTGGTGTAAACTTTGTGGCAGGGGCAGGATGGGTTTTAATGACAGATGGGTATATCCCTCCCCAGAGCACACTCCTATTTGGGCAGAGTATGTCTCCTTTAAATGGTCTAGTGCCTAGTCTGCTTGGTACTTCAGGAGGCTCAGTACTGGGGAATATATGAAAGAAACAGTATCATGGATGAGGTTCTATCACTTTGGTGATGTAAATTGTGAAGTTAAAGGTGCTGTACCGGCAAGAGAAACTGTAGTCAGAGAGTGCTTTCATGGGCTTCCTGCTTACAAATACCGGATGCTCATGCTGCAGGCACACTTTACTTCTTCCAAGTGAAAAAAAAAAAAAAGCATACAGCTAAACGCAATAGTCTGGGGCTAACCCAAGCGTAGGAAAGGAGATCAGAAGTGTTTGGAAGGACAGAATGACTCTACAGACTTTATCAGTGTTGCTGTATAAGCAAGGAGTGTGAAAACACACCTTTGTTCTCCCCAGCAGCACCCAGCACGAACACAGCTGTGGAGGCCTTCCTTTGGCTCTCTGGAAGGTGTTTGGGTAAAGCCATGCCTGCAGAAAAACTCTTCTCAGTGTTTTACGCTCAGCTACCTGAAAAGGCTTTTCCATTAGATCCCTGTCAGCAGCAGCTGTGAAATGGTGAGAGGCCCTAGCTGTCGTTACAATAACGCTAGAAAGTAACTACAGGGAGCCCAAGAAGCTATTCAGCACAGAAGGCCAGAACGGGGAGCACTTTTTAATTAATTGGTGGCAGATTTCATCTAACAAAAAATTATCATGGCTGTTGGCTGTGTCCCTGGGATGCTCTTCTGTGATGCTGTGCAAACCCTCCTGCCTGAGTCAACAGGGCAGCGCTAGGTTCTGCGGTGAGCTCAGCTGCTCGGGGACAGGCGGCTCTCTGTGGTTAGCAATAGACTCTGAAATAAAACTTTTCCTGTGTAGCACTCCACTGAGTCACTGTTTCTGTTTTCGTGTTTTTCACTTCCTTTCTGGCAGCTGCAATGCCTCTTGCCTTACCTCCTTTCATGTGCAAAATGCCCCTCTGTTCCCATCTGCCCCATTTTTCCTAGACCTTTGAAGTAGGCCAGACCCAGGCTTGGATGAGGTTTGCTACCCTTAAGTAGCTTGGATAGTGTTCCTGACTCCCCACTGGGGTCCTACCTCTGGCTGCAGCTCTTCCCTTACCCAAAAAGCCCCTTCTTTGGTGGGAATTTAGACTGAGGGCTCAGTAAAAACTGAGTAAAGGTTAGAGGATTTGACCTATTGTTAATTTAAGTCTGAATGAATTCTGTTTCTTCCTGCTCCTTTTCACTGGAGGATCATTGCTTCTCATGAAATCTGGGATATTGTAGAGAGGTCTTAGAAACCATACCGGACCTTGTAAATGAGTAAAAGCACAATGTAACTCTTAAATGTTTGCATTTATAGGTCTGTAATTCTTAGCGTAATATTAACACAATACTAATTATAAAGGGAATTGCTAATCTTTCAGCGGTAGAGATACTGGGTTTATTTACCTTAAAAATGCTCTTTTTTGAGTGAAATATTAGCAGCGTTTCCTTCTGATTAAAATGTTAAACAAGCGAGATTTTCCACAGCATAAAAAGACAGAGCTCATTCTGCTCTTCCGTGTTGGTATAAGTCACTGCTGGAGATGACAGTGAAGTGAGTGTCATGAAGCTCAGAATGCTTTGAAAACAGACTAATAGGTCAAATTCTGCTATTGCATGACTTAGTGACACCACAAAACCTTTACAGTCAGTGTCAGCTTACAGCTGCAAGGGTTGGGTCAGAATTAGGGTCAAGGGCAGAGCTGGAAGTTAATGAACTGCTGGGTGATTGAATGTTGCATGGTGTGATATATTTATTTGTTATAAAGTAGGAGATGACAAAAGAGCTTATTTTTCAATATGGTTCTTGTTGATGTTACAGGAGAAACACAGCACTTTAAAAATGCCTTTGCGGGGAATGATGCCAGTGTTATGGGATTGCCACTTGCTTTCTACTCCGGAATGTATGCCTATTCAGGCTGGTAAGTTGTTGAAACTTGTGAGTATTTATCGTGAAAATAAACACTATATATGCTCTAATGAGGAGATTTATTTATATGAAGAAATGAGCAACATATTCGAACTGCATCATGTAGTAAGGGTGGATCTCACCACTGTTCCATATGCTCAGTAGTTATTCTGCAAGCAGCTCTGCGAGGGAAAGATTTTTCTTCTCCAGTGTGCAGTAAGTAAACATGCTCTGAACATTAAAAAAAATGAAAAACAAACCCTCAGACTTTTATTTCTGTTCTTAAGACCAGGAATAAAGGCAACAAGAAAGGGATGTTTCTAAATTTTCATCAAGTAACTGGATAAAAGGATAAAAGAGATAATGAAGCTTTAATTTTTGTTGAGCAAGAATGTAATTACATGAAAAATAATTCTAGGGACTGTTACAAAGTTGTGTGGACCTCAGCCTTTGCTTTGTAAAAGCAGTATTTGAAGAATGAGAACCATGATAACATCAGTATAGACCACAAAACAAGATAAAATGACAGATTCTTATGCCTTTTGCTCTGGGAGAATTGAACCTCACTTTATAAGAAAAGCAACTGGCTTCTGCGGAAGTCAAGTGCTATTGACTGTAAGCAAATATATGAGAATCTGTCTTCAAGTACCCTACTCAGAACTTTATTTCAAGTTCTTTCCCTCTCCCCACCAAAGTACACAGCAGCTGGTTTGAAAGATACTGCTGCTTTGAATCTGCCTTACGATTTATTCATGCTTAGTGAGGGCTCCACACTACACAGCGCCAGCATACTTTTGCAGCAGCAGTGTGTGGGGAAAAAAGACAACTACAGTGAACGGAGTGGGCTTATTCTGAGGCAGCTTTGTCTGCAGGTCTTCCCTTTCCTTTCCATAGCTTCACAGGCAGCCAAGTCCCTTCATCTTGCATAAAAAGGTGAGGGCAGAGAGATAAGGGATTTATATATTTAATTTGGAGGGACAAGGGACTGAGCATTTGAGTTCTCTGTCTGTCGGTAACTCCCAGATTGCAGGAGTATTATAAACATGCATGCTGAAATACTGAACAGAGCTTTTATGTTAAATGGTGATGGTGGGGGAATCCAAGAGAGTCTAAACCCTTTATCTGTGAGATATAAATATATTACCTATATATATATGAAAGCCTGGTATTTTGAAGCCTCAAGGAAATTGAACTCATTATGCAGACAGTCTCTACCTTCTTCCCTCTCTCTCATATAACTGCCTTTGTTTCTCACATCCATACATGTGATGGTTTCTCACTTTTAAAACTTTAACCTAACTGTACATTTTTGTATGAAGGGAATTCTAAAAGCACTTTTATATTGTTCATCGCTGAGTTATAGTTTATTTGCTGTAAGATGCTACATTAAAAATACTGTTATTCTGTTTCTTCTTTCCCATTTCTTTTCATTTTCCACCAAACGTTCCAAATCCGTACAATAAAAACAATCTCTGTTTTTCCTTTGCACCATCTGACTTTTATTTCAAGGTTCTTATTTGCTACTTATAAAAGAAATTAGCAGGAAAAGAGCTAATTTGGCTAGTGGTTCTTCCCAGCTGCCTATTTGTCTTTGTCACCAGCTCAAATTGATTGCCTGAGAGCATAGGAGAGCAGACCATTAAGTGGAGTGTCAATACCCTTGCACTAACAGTTTCATGGGGCTAAATCAATCCAATAAGCTGAATGTGAAGGAGTGTTACAAGTGTTGGGGTTATGTCTGAGGATGTAGGCAAAGTTTTATGCATAGCCTATGAGGCTATTAACTTTTAATGACACAGCTTTAAAGAACAAACCAAAGGTGTTATCTCTTATGTATGTGTGGGCTTATCCATGTGAAGAGTGAGTGTAGACTATCTGATATATAAAATGCTAGGTGAAAAAGGACAAGTAGAGAAAAGAATGCAAGGAAGCATGTCTCTGCATCACTGATGCCAGGCTGTCAGGTTACTTCTGTCTAGAACAGGACTAAGGCTAGAAAAAAAAGTAGCTGAATGTCTTACTCTTTGAAAACCATTTCTCCTTTGAACTACCCTAACCTCTTTTTTTTTTTGTGCTCTGTGCAATATCAAGTTTAGAAACAAGTACTGGGGGTGGTTCTATAAATGGCAAATCTAGTTTTTACAGCATTTGGTGCTCAGTCACAAAATCATATTTTATCAAAACCACAAGCCAGCATGAAATTGTTCCGCTAACCCAGATCTGCTCCAAGACCTGTGATGGAGAAAAGATCCACAGACTTTCTGCCAGCTCAGGTACCATCTGTTTATTCACTGTAGCACTCTTGGGTCAGATATCATTTGCCTTCCTGCATAAAAGCAGAAAGCCAGCATAAGCACTGTATTGACTGCTCTGTTTAATTAGCCAGGATGTGACTTTGTGCCCACATCTGAGCCAGGCACATCTGTATGATCCAGTGATGAGCAGACCTAGTGCTAATAAATGCAGAACAGAGGGTTCAGTGACCTCGAGGCTTACAGTTGCTTTGTATGCAAGGCTGTGCCCATTGAATAGCTCCTATGAATTCCCATACATAGCTATCTCTTGTATGCTGCTGGAATATGACCAGAGAGCAACTTGTACAGGAGGCTGTGTGAGAGCACACAGGATTAGCAGCCTGGGTTTGTGATCGCGTATGACACAGTAGTGTCAAAATACTGGTTTTAGGAGGGTTTTTTTGAGGCCTCATTTGTTTTTATTGTAAATAAGTCCTTGCTGAGTACCTTGCTGAGAATTTTTGCCAATACAACCTGAAACTGTACAAGGCTACAACCACAAATGGAATATGATGCTTTAGGGTATGTGTGTGCATTTGTGTATAAGATTAGGGTAAACCGTAATATGCCTAGTATGCCAGGGGAAAAAAATAATTCCACACTGACACTGGAGAGCTTTTGTCTTTTTTTCTACTTTGTTATCTTTTCTAAGAATTCCCTTCCTGGGCATGGGGCTGAGGGAACGTGAAATCTCACACTCTCCTTAACCCAAATCATGGGTCTGCAAAGTCGTCTATAATTGACAGTGGTGTTTAACTAGAGGCATCTTCTTGATTCTTTGGGAAAGAAATACAGAATCAAATCTACCAAGCCCTTCTAATAGCTTTTATAATTCTTTTCTAGGTTTTACCTCAATTTTGTTACTGAAGAAGTGGAAAACCCTGAGAAGTATGTACCTAATGTTTTTCTTGACTTTTGAGAAATGGTTGTAAATTTAAAATGCTTATGAAATCACTGATCTTCAGAAATTCTGCATTCTGGTCAAGTTGCTTGATTTCCAGCAGATCTGCTATCCATTTGAATTGCAACTGCTTGAAGATTTGCTATTTTCGGCCTGTCATGACCTTGTTATGTATTCTGCTTTTATGTGCACAGAAAGCAGAAAACTAAGTAGATCTCCAGGGCTCTGATTCACCCCCTCAGGATACAAGTAACTATCAGTGGCTCCTTTCAGTGGAAGTTACTGGTATCCTGTCAGGGAAATCTTGCTCAAGAAACTTATCTCCTGCAATATTTGGCAGTTTTGCTATGTTTAAATATTAATCAAATACTTAGCTCTACTTGTTTTAAGTGTCTCAGAGTTGCAGGATCTTGAATACATGTAGCACAGCATCTAATCCAATTAAGCGAAGAGGGAATATTGGTGGGAGTTTGTTTCAAAGCAGGGACAAATACACTCCCAGTGTCTGTCTGTAAAATATGGCAAGAAAAGCTGTCCTGTTAGGGAGAGTTAGATTTAGCAGATCTATTTTAGTAGATATGTTTTCATACAGAGAGCCAGTAATAATATTAACCTTCTCTAGAAATTATATAAAATACTCTTTGTCAAGTCAAATTATGTTCTTTGAGGAAATTAACAATGTACTTGATTAAAAATTAATGGGTAGACGACATTTTCTTAGGTGTTTAAAATAAGATGCCTGACTGGGTACCAAAGAACTTACTGTTTAAAAACACCCAAGCACTGTACATGCAGAGAATATGAAGCTACGTATCTGAGACATCTAAAGAAAAATAGGGAGCATGCAGGAGTTTTTTAGCTGGTTTCTTCAAAGTCTGAACCAAGCCCAGTGCTGTTCGGTGTTTTCTTCAGAGACCTGAAAATAATTATAAAGACATTGGTGATTAAACATGTGGATGGCAGAAAGACTGGCAGATTGCTATTGTTTCATTGCCTTTGAGAGGGCTTGGGTGTTAACATGCTCTTTAATGTGATCAGGATATGTATACAGAGGTATTTATGACTGGAAGCTGAAACCAGACAAATGGAGGTAGATACGACATTAATATTTAACACTGTGTTTAGTAATCATTAACACAGATACCTGTGTACAGTTGAGATTTTTGTTGGTAATCTTCAGAAAGAACACCTTTTTAGGAGCTGTGCTTTAGTAAAACACAAGTAATTTGCCTCAGTGGTGAGCAGCTGGCTAATGCTTCCTAGGCCTGGGACTTTTTTATTTTATTTTATTTTATTTAATTTAATTTTATTTTATTTTATTTTATTTTATTTTATTTTATTTTATTTTATTTTATTTTATTTATTTTATTTTTTCTTTTAAGAAATCTTTGTACGGTAAATGGACTTAGAAGGAAATATGAAACTAAGTAAAGGAGTTAAGTGATTCTGGTCCAAGTCTTCTACTGCTTCAGGAAATTCTGCAGAGATGGGCTAGGAGCCAAAGACTTGGTGATGTGATCAAAAGTATTTGCTAGAAGCAATATAATTTGTAAATTATCATGTGGTTACCATTAATACTATGTAATATTATTAAATGTGCACATGCCTACCACCCCTTGGGACTTTTCATACACTGATGTGTCTCTGCAGTCCCCTTAACTGTATGACAATTAAGTGAAATTATTGGTAATATTTATTACAGCTATTGTGGTTTATGCTGACTTTTTGTCTTGCGGTTTAAGTTGTATTTTTGAATGTTTTGTGCCCTCTGCTGTGTAGGACAAAGAGGCATAGTTCCTCTTTTTGTATGTTTTTAACTAAGCACCCACTGAAGCATGTTGTATCACAGCTAAGAAAAGTGATATGGATTAGATTTTGGGGTTTTCTTCATTGCATCTGGGATGTGAAGTAGGAAGACACTGTCTTTTCTGCCTACCATCTAGGGAGAGCTTCTCTGCTCTCCCGGTTACCTTAGATTGCTGCTGAAGTTAATTATGTTGCTAGTGAGGATGCAGGACTACAAGCCACATAGCCTGTCTGGTTCAGGGTATCCCAGGATGGCTCTGGAAAAAAACCCTCAATGTTACTTGTGCAGTGTTGTGGCAAAGCTATTATAGCTTCACTTCATCACTCTTTGTCCCGGGGTTGCAATTTGAGATGATAAGGGAAGATGCCCAGGTTTTACAGCAGCGTGCCTGGGATCACAATCCAAGTAAAGGCATAAATATATAGTAGAAGAAGTTGAGATTTCAAACATTGCTAAATAAGTAGCCGCTGATAGCAGGGCAACTGGATTGCTACCAGCTGGGCTGGTGGAGACTTTTGCATCGCCTGTGAATAGGAATTGTGGACTCTATTAACCCAAACCAAGCAATTAAACTGAACAGTTAGAATATTGTTTTTATCCAGTTGCCAGCTGTGAATGGCTCTCTTGGAAAGACTTCCTGCTGAATAGAGACCTGTTCCACCATCATTCCTAAGCATCCAGGGCAAGGGAATATTGTAGACTAATCCCAGGGACAACTGCTTCAGTTCCTGCCAAACAGCGCAGACGTTAGATGAGCCCCTATTGTTCTGCTATTGTAGGCATTCATTAGAACTCAACTGCTTTTTCATTTTTTAATTTTTTTTTATTCATATTTTTACCAAAGATCATAGAATTTTAGGATTGTTTATGCTGAAAAAGACCTTTAAGATCATTGGCTCTAAATATTAACCCAGCACTGCCAAGACCACCACTAAACCATGTCCCCAAGTGCCAGATCTACATGTCTTTTAAATACCTCTATGGTTGGTGACTCAGCTACTTCACTGGGCAGCCTGCAATACTTCATAACCCTTTTGGTGAAGAAATCTTTCCTAATGGCCAATCTCAACCTCCCCTGGTGCAGCTTGAGGCAATTTCCTGTCTTTCATTCCTGTTGTATGCTTTATGTTAAAGGTTGCATATAGTGCTGCAGAGCTATTATGTAGCTGTTTTTAAAAGGGAAGAAGGAAGTATAAGCTTGAACTACATAGAGTCTGTAACAGCTCCAGGTGTGCAATTTGTAATGTTTGTTAGTGGTTAGGGACGCAAATTACAGTGACCGAGGTGAGCACGGTAATGCCTTCTGTACTGAGTGTGCCAATGTAAATGTTTTTCTGAGAATCAGTCACAGTTGTGTATTTCCAGATGTGTGGAAGCTTTTGGAGTAACTGACAGCTGGTACCGAGATGAATGATCAGCATCGTCCCCACATTAACCATCCTGCAGCAAACTGTCCTGGGTTCAGCAGTAGCAGTCATTTTTGTCCTTCTTAGTAGCTGGTGCAGTGCTGTGTTCACAGACTTTCAGCCTGTGAACAACGCTGATAACACCAATGTTTTTAATTGTTGCTCAGTAATGTTTACTCTGACCAAGGACTTTCCGAGTCTCATGCTCTGCCAGGGAGGAGGGGAAGCCGGGAGGAACCAGAGACAGGACACCTGATCCAAACTAGCCAAAGAGGTATTCCATACCACAGCACGTCATGCCCAGTACACAAACTGGGGCGGTTACCCGGAAGGGCTAGATCACTGCTCAGGTTGGGTTGGGTATCGGTTGGCGGGTGGTGAGCGGTTGCATTCTCTTCCCTTGTTATTTCCCTTATCATTATTATTATTGGTGGTAGCAGCAGTGATTTGTGTTATACCTTAGTTACTGGGCTGTTCTTATCTCAACCTGTGGGAGTTAGTTACATTCTTTCGATTCTCCTCCCTATCTCTCCAGGTACATGGGGAGGAAGAAGGGTGGGAGTGAGCAAAAGGCTGTGTGGTTCTGAGTTACCGGCTGGGCTTAAACCATGACACAAACACATAATGCAGTGTATTGCAAGAGTTGTGGGGAGGATAGATTCTTGGAACCATAAAATGGTTGGGTTGGAAGGGACCTGAAATATCATCTAATCTAGTTCTAACCCCTTCCACTAGCCCAGGTTGCTCAAAGCCCCATCCAGCCTGGCCTTGAATAACATGGTTGCAATAGGGGAATGGAGAAATGCTCTAGCAGAGAGAGGAGTTACAGCAGAGCTGCCAAGGACCTGCATTTGTGTAGACCTGGCTTTAAGCCCCTCTTTATGTGGTGAATCCTCGACTCCCTCTCCACTTTTGTGGTACTGTGGAGGGTGAGAGAGAGATGGGTCAGGGCCCTAGGATATATCCTTTAATGCACAGGAAGGTGAAAACATACACTTTTAGATATTAAAGTTTTTCAGATAGGGATTGCTTTGTTTGCTCTTGTGTGTTCAGCACCAAGAGAGCTTGCTAGAGTACGGTGAATGCCATTGGAAACGTAGGAGAGAAGCAGGGGAGGGGAGGAGAGATGCTCACGACCTTGCCCAGCTGAAAGCTGCCTTTGTGTTCCAGCAGAGCTGCTGTTTGTACTGGCAGAAATGGATCCTGAAAGCTGTGGGAGTCTGTGTAGGTGCAGCAGTCTGTCCAGGTGCAACAAATTGCAGATTTAGGTCTATAAATAAGATGAATACTATGGGCCTGAGGCACTGAGATAGCTAGGTGATATGAAATCCTGGAGAGACAGAGCTGAGAGTGAAAATGAGCCAAGTGAAGAGGAAGAGCCCTTTAAATTATAGAAGGGAGAATGGAAAAAGGGGTGGGGGGAGGGCGGAATCTGAAAGAGAATGCCATTATTTTTTTAACAGATTTTTGGGACTAGTGCTGAATTCTCACTTTGGAAACATCACAGTCCCTTCTTTTGTATAAAAAAAAAAAAAGGGACATTATTATGACCTCAATTATCATAAGACGTAAAAGCTGCTTCGGTCTCCTGCTAAACTCCCTTTTGATGTCTCATTTTTAAACCTGGACTCATTCTCTTTATTCCTCTTTGTGAAAGTGCTTCCTTCATACAGCATTATTAGGACCTGAAGCAACACAGTGTTGGTGTTTGTTTTACAAGGAGCTGTGGTTGCAGTGCTCAGGTGCTTTAAAGTACAATCTTTTTGAAAAAGAG